CTGGATACTGGGTCAGAGGTGTTGTCAATGTGTAGATTAAAATCACCAGTTATTAAAATCCTGTTGTAGGTGGAGTAAATGATTGATAATAATTCAGAGAAATCACTGATAAAAGAAATGGAGTACTGGGGTGGTCTGTAAACCGTTATGCAAAGGATAGGAGGGCTGCTAAAAACAAAGGCATGATGCTCAAATGACGTGTAACTGCTAAAAGAAACTTCATTTGAGGACATTGTGGTTTATGTTACTGATGCAGTTCCGCCTCCTCTTTTACCTCCCCTAATAGAATATAAAAAGTTAAATTTTGGTGGGGAAGCCTCTGTGAGAACAACAGGTGCGTCGGTGCCAAGCCATGTCTCTGTAAGGAGAATACTGTCTAGGTTATTGTCTAAAATTAAATCATTTATGATAAAAGATTTGTTTAAAAGGGAGCGCACGTTCAGCACTGCCATTTTAATGTTTGTGCTGAACGTGCGCTCTTCATGACTTTTCAAATGGATGTTAAAAACACGGTTAGGTCTAAAAACATTCTTGGGTTTCAACTTTCTAAGTGTAATGATAGTTTTTATGGTGTGAATGTCCTGTGTTTCCGGTTGCAGAGAAGGTGCTACTGAGGGAGAAGTGTGTGTTGGTGCAATGTGTAGTGGAGGATGGTGGAGGTGGGTGAGCAGTGAGTCAGCAGGTGGCTGTGGTGCAAGATCGGACGGTCAGGTCAATGTTGACTGATAAAAGCTGTGATCCCTCCTGGTTTGGGTGGAGACCGTCCCGTTTAAAAAGGTGGGGTCTATTTAAAAAAGCTATAAAATTGTCCACAAAAGGGATACTTTTGGACAAGCAGTATCCCTTCAGCCACAGGTGCAGCTGACGAAGGCGGCTGGTGGTGACGTCACCATAACGAGGTGGGGGAACCAGGCCGGAAATAATTAGCCGCTTCCCCGTGTCCAGCAGGCGGTCCACCAGGGAGATTAAGTCCTGCTTGAGGACCTCTGACTGCTGGTTCCTGAGGTCGTTGATACCGGCCTCCAGGACCAGTGTGGAGGCCGAGCTGTGCCGTGCAGTCAGCTGGAGGGCGGAGGATGCAACCTCACTGACACGGGCACCAGGGTGGCAGAAGGTGCGGCCATTGTGCACTTCCATGTGCCTGACCATGGAGGTCCTGATCACTAGCACAGAGGGGGTGTGCTGCTCCCGAGTGCGCGCCTCCGACTGCCTGGAGGTACGACGGTGACGGGATGGAGCCCGATGTTTGTGGCGCCGGGCTGCAGTTCCTCCTGACCGGGATGGAGGGGAGGGGTCAGGCTGGACGAGCAGACGCCGATTCCTGGACTGGTGAAAGCCACGGCCAGCTGGATGTAGGCCTACAGGTTCCACAGGCGAGCTGGACGAGAGGATGTTTTGAATACATATTGTGTTGTAGTATAATGTTTTGTGAGAAAAAATAAATCCCACTGCCGTGAAGTTAACACCAGCACAATGTGCGTCTCCTCTATTTTTACCAGTTTTAATCACAGTGCCGGCAAGACAGAGGATCTGCCGCCCCCCCCCCGATCCTCAGGTTAGGGAGGCAACATCCTCATTTGCTGTGTGTATGAGAGATAGAGAGGTGCTGAACCTTGCAGTGTGGCTGTGGCGGGAAATAATCAACAATAAATAATCCACATATTAGAAAGAAACATGTCTCCTGTGTGACCTCTCCGTAGCTAATAAGGTAAGGCTCCACCAATGTATGTTTAGGTTGGTCATAATGGTGATACTTGGAGAGCTCAATTTTTTATCAGATGGAACACAGTGTAAAAAGTTTGAGAACCACTGCTCTAAATAACCATAGTAATTTTGTCAATGCAAGGAGCCAGTGCACCGATTTGGAAATCAATTCATCTGCTGAGTTTACTTCACCAGTGTTTCTGACCACGAGTAGCTACGACTGGGGGTGGTTTTCAGGGGCAGATTTAGTGTTATAGTGGCCCCAGGCTTTACTTTTCACACTTTCTCTTACTGGAAATATTGGCAGTGGTAGAAAAGTAGGCCTACTCAAAACTTTTTTATGGGTAAAAGTATTAATCTAATTAATATAACAGTAAAAGTCCCGCACCAAATTTTTAAAGTGCAGACTGAAAGAGAGGCATTATCAGCACAGTGTACGTACATTTTCTTAACATCTGTTAAAGGTGGAGTTTACTACTCTGTTGGGATCAACATATTAGGCCTCACCAAGGGGCAGTGAATATGTTGTGAACATAAATTTTAGGGCGTCACACAGAGGCTCCAATTATGTTGTAAATTGGCTATCGGAAATAATTAATAATTATTATTAATAATTAATAATCATATTGAATAATGTGACTTAATTAACATTAAATCACCTTGTGGGGCACCATTCCCGTAAAGGGAAAATGATAGCCAGTTAACCCTATGGATCCTAGGCGTTTTTGGGGTATTTTTACTGCCTTTAGTTTTAAGCTCATATCACAGTCATTGTAAAGGCTACATACACATGCTATATCTTGTTTTTTTTCAGGAAAATCTGGGCTAACCAGATTTGCCATCATTCCATGTCCTTCTATGTGCCTGTATTTTATATTAATTTTTATATCAATGAAAAAAACAAATCCGTGTGACTAAATTCTTACATTTTTACATGTATCTCACCATAGCAAGTTGGAAAAAGACATATTCTGCCATATCTGAAGAGGGGAGACTCTCTGGAATCTGGCAATATAAGAACCATGATGCTGGGACATTCTGCCACTTCACAGCTGTCCAAAACATGTGGTTTGTGCCAGGCGGACATGATTGCCAGTATTTTTTCATTATTGCAAGAAATTCCATTGACTCATTCACAAGTCAAAAATGTGTTTTATCTGAAAGAAACATGCAATATTTACATCTAAGATCATAGAAAAATAGTCAACCAAGTGCAATGATGTCCTCCAAGATAATATTTGTTTTTCAGTTTCAGTTATATACTGGGGGAACATTTTGGGCATTGGTGGGGGGGGGCACGTGTCCCCCTCAATGTGTATGGTGACTACGGCCCTGTCAGCATGCATTAGGCTGCAGTTGTCTGGGTGCGCAAAGGTGAAGTGGCTGGTCTTGTCATACAAAGTTTGATGGAGTGTCAACTGGACAATATGGAGATATTTGCATCTTGAAAGCCGAACTACAAATGTGGATAGACAGGGAGAAACACACGCAAGCCTAAGACGTGGTAAGATACGATATTCCTCACTATATGAAGTGACTGATAACAAGATCTGTATAATGGATTGTAAAGAATTTCGTCAGGTTTTTATTTTGTGGACAATCAATCTGTATTTATAGCGTGATGGGATGATAGTACAATGATGTGTGTGGTATTCCTGGAAAGCTCTGCTCCTGCGCTTTTATGTGATATGCGTGGCATTTCTGTGCGTTCGCGAGTAATCCATCCAAGAGTAATGTGTGTGCAAAGCTGTATGAAAGCTCTGTTATACATCATTTTAGTGTAACTTTATCATTTTTTTTTGCTGTGAAAACATTGGATTACCGACAAGTGCTTGGCCTTCTCGGAAAGGCTACAGTTCCGCTCTTTCACGTGATATGCGTGGCTTCTCGCTAGGACGCACGGTCGCGGAGAAAATCCACAGAGAAGAACAGGTGTGAATTTGGACGCACTATGCGTCATTCGTGCCCATAGGGTTAAAGATATCAGTCTCATAAAATACGCTAAACTATCAATTTGTAGTTTTTATTAATAATTAAATAATTGACAATAACCAAAATTAATAGTAAAGACTGAAGGATTTCGGAGTTCTTGACCCAGCAGAGGTTGATTGTTCATTCACTCTTGTGCAACATTAAACAGACAGCAGGTATGATTGCAAAGAATTATATTTATTCACAAAGTAGCAAAGCAAAACCAAAACACACAAATTCTAACTAACTATATACAACCCTGGTGTGTGTGTGTGTGTGTGTGCGAGAGAGAGAGAGAAAGACAAAGGCGGGTGTGGTGATCAAAGAGCCGTTTGGCCTACAAAACAAAATGGCTTACAACAGAGAACTACAAGATGGCCGAATCAAAACTGGCTTCAGGTTGGGGGAGGTGTTTGTCTGACCGTGTGGTCAGGACAAAGACAAAGGAAAAGAAGCAGGAACTTTGAGATGCCTGTTTGGGTGTAGCTCTGTTGAAAGCCTATTTGTTAATGAGTCTATGTCAATGTGATTTGTGTTGCAAACAGTCTGGATTAGTGCAGAGATTCCTCTAGTTGTGTGCAAGAATCTGTTTGTGAACAGTACTAGCAAATGAAACACTTAACTTTGGCAAAGCCAACCAATCAATGACCTTACTGCAAACAATCACAACAATAACTCAATGACAGCATTAAATCACATACAATAAGTTAAACAGTCTTGCTTAGCCTGTGATAAAGCTATGCCCAGTTGTTACGTTACCAATCCTTGAGTGGATGAAAGAAAGAGTCACTTGGTGGTGTGCTTCTTCGTTAGCCGGCGGAAGAAGGCCAGAAAGAGCTGTGGTTCCAGATGCAGTCTTTGCTGTGTCCTTGTTCCAAAGGTTCTGATCCGAGGAAGCCAGTCACTCGGGGTCCTTGCAGAGTTAGACGCTGGGTGCTAACTCACTTACTTCCTTGTTGCTGGAAAGCTAGTTGCAAACCTTGTGCTTGCACCTCTAACTTTCTGGTTCAGGATAGAGAGTCTGTGATCAATTGCCCCACCTTTGATGGTCCTTGCCATGAACCATCAATTGCCCCACCTTTGATGGTTCATGGCAAGGAGCAAGGGTCTGAGCATCTGGGCTAGTCCAGGCCCAGCCAGAAAGAGGTGTAGGCTGCTCCGCAGTTCCTGAGTAAGAGAGGGGACTGTCTGAAGGGAGCAGACCTTCTACAGATGCCGTTGACGTCACAGAGTCACATGTCACTGCAAAAGTCCTGTCCAATCAAGTTGTGAGACTTGTGTCTCACTGAGGTGTGAGGTGGGAGATCCTGGAGATGGGTGTCAAATAGCTGTCTTTGTTTGGAGATCAAAGAGCATGCAGAGAAGGAAGCCTTTAAATGACCAGTTTAGATTTTACCAAATGACAAATCATCTGTGGTCCTGTGAATCCCAACAACTGTAATATAATGCTGGACAGTTTATTGAATAATAATGCATCATATTTGAATTGTTTTATTTTGTGGGTAAAATCTTAATCTGCAATGTAACCAGTAATATGTCTCTGTCAGGTAAATGTAGTGGTCCTATGTTTTCCTCTGAAGTAGAATTAGAAGTAGAAGTACACTGTCAGTAAGCAGTATACTGTCAATAAAACAAAGTCTGGGGGTCATATGCTGTGTCCACATATTATTTTTTTTCTGAGGGCTTCACTTTTCAGTTATTCCCAATGAGGTGAGGTCATATGTGGCATTTGAAACAGGAGAAAAGCCTTCCTAGTTGTCTGAATGGACATCCTTTTCCTCATCACTCAACTGATGTAGAGGAACCACACGAGCCACAGGAACAATATATGACTTGTCGGTGACAGTGATGGAAGCAGCTCTTATGCATCCATCAGGGTGCACTTGAATGGTCTTTCTACCCAGCCAGAGGATGGAGAGGAGCCAGTCAGAATGAGCTTTAAAGGAATGAAAGCAGAAGGGTTATTTTAGGTTGAAACAAAGGGTTTATTACTATAATTGAAACCTCAAACCATTTTGTTAATGGATTTAAAAAATAACTCAAATAAAGGGGAGATTCAATGTCCAGTTGCATTTTTTTTTCTCAGTATCGTAGATGAGCAAATGTACATGGTATAATAACCATCAACTTTTATACCATGGTATACCTTGAAACCAGTATATCGCTACAACCCTAGTAGGGATCAAGATGTTATCAGTATAACCCCATTCCTGTTGTAAAAGTACTTATGTCAGGGGGCTCAGGATTTAAACTAAAATTTACCTGTCCACAGAAATTTGATTTCTACAGCTCCAGGTTATGGGGTTCAGCAGACGCTTCCAGGTGCCTCTCTGATGCTGTGTAATATTTGTATGTGAAGCCAGAAACTGCTGTTCAAAGAATTGACTGACAGGCTTAAAAGCTGTAACTTAAGAGAATCCTGATTAACAAACTTACTATATCCAACCAGGATTTTGATTCTGACATGCAGTAAACCTCTGCTAATTAATGCAATTTGATAAAAACTGAATCAGTGAGGAAATTAAGCAGGCCCCTGGCTGGGATGGGACACAGTATTTCTGCCAGAGTCACAGTGAGGATGAGGATGTATTGAGTAGCAGGATCATACCTGTGTGGTTAAAGTTCCTGACTGAGTGGGACACAGTCTGAGTGAAAACCAGAGCCTGTCTCCTCCCTTTCCTGAACACACACTGTGGGATATGACAGACATCCATCTGCTGTCTGCTGCCTGTCATCCTGGAGTGGAGATTTGTCATGGAATAATAGGGGAGAAATGCCTAACTGCAGGAAAACAACAGAAATCATTTGATGGCAAGTTCTGTTACAGTGTCAATGATGTCAATGATGAGTTCTACTGCAGTGAACATATTGATACAGCTGTACTTACCTTTCTGTAAAAGTCTCTTCCTGGTAAAGATATAGAGGTGAGGGTGACTTTATCACCACTTTGTCTAATCTCTCTGACAATGTTCTCATGCTCCATAGACTCAACAGGTTTCCCATTGACAGCTAGCAGCAGGTCTCCATCCTCCATCTGTGCCCCCTCAGCTGGACTTCCCACATCCACCTCCCTCAGCACATGAACTGGATCACAGCAGGATTGGAAAGGAAAAAGCACACATGCAGAGAGACTTCAAATCACCTGATTATTATTGAGAGAAAGGTTACAAAATGGGTTTGAGTAAACTTTCTTGTACATGGGGCTAGAAACACACAGGTCTTTAAGTTGCTAAGGTCATTATTGGCTGATTTCTTATCATTAAGGGTTACATAAAAGCCTTTGAAACATAATTTAGACTATGATAAAATGCAATGTCCTGGCTACTTTGACATAAATTTAACTTGGTCCTAAAGTAAGATTTAATTAGCCATAGCAACCTCAATGTGTAAAGTCTGATTATGCTAGCCCAGTATGATAGCCACTGTTTGTCAAAGACTTTGGTGAATTAAACATTTTGCATTGACATTTTAATGTAGTTTAATTGTAATAAATAAATAAATAATTTATTTAGAATGTTGTTGTTGTTGTTTCCATGTTGCATTTCTTTTTTCAGATTTTTTTTTTTCAGGTTGAAGTTTTTAAAATTTGACTTTTTTTATGTGCAAAAATAACTGCTGACAATCTGGGAAACAAATAGTTGCAGTTTTCATTTGTTTATTGTGAATTAGGATTTTAAAATATCACTCATACAACTAAAATAGAACCTGATCTCTATCACATCAAGTTGACTACAGCCACATCTCTAGCTGTATTTAGAAGTGGAGCTCCAGGCAATACTCTAGCCATACTCTTTGAAAGGAAAATGACATAAGCAGCTGTTGCCCTGGTTACCCAGTGTCCTGGACAGAGATACAGGTGGAGAATTGGCATGTCAGCCATTAGGAATTAGGAACAGGGGGACAGCATTTTTCAAATTGGGCCCCTCATCCATACAAACATCAGAATTGATAAAAAATGTAAGTAAAATCCCTCCAAAATACCCCATTACGGCACCAAGACTATGAAAAAGACCATAGACCCACATCTGACCCCTGCAGTTAATGTGAAAATGGACAGTCATAAGTGATTTATTAGATGAGAGAAAAGGTACAGCAACCAGGGAGAATGTCTTCCACAGTACAGGGACCCTCTCCGGACTCAGGCTCAGGTTAAAGATGTGCTGTGCTCCACATGGCTGATGCTGCTGGGACCTGCAGCTTTACTCAGGAGGAGTCCACTCAGATCACTTCTCACCTGCTCTGCTGAGGAGGCTGGTGTGCTGTGTGTAGAATTGTTGGGAAGAGCTGTATGGTATTCTTGGAGACAGGAGGGTTAAAGGAATTCCCCTCATCCCCCAAAACAGATTTGAATAGCAAGTCCCCCACCTTTCCTCTTGCCACTCTCCCTGTGATTGCTGTCTGCCAATATAGTCTTGAATCCTCCTCAAGTCCTTGGGGATTTCGGTTTACTCCCTTGCTTGTACTCTTGGTTGAAGCAACAACAACAGACCTTTGTTGTAAATGAAGGTGCTGTCAGCAACTTCTTGTTGGGCAAAGAGGGACATGTGGTTTAAAACAAGGGTCCCTACAACAGACAAAATGGTGAAAACTTTTCATCTCATTGGACTTCAACTGGACAAAAACAGAGCTAAAAAAAAAACACACAAAAAAGACCCAGAAAAAACAGAGCAACTGTTGCTGGCTGCCACTCACACAGCACAAGATCCAGAAGATCACCAACTAGATGATCATCATGAAATTTGGTAGCTCGGAGTAACTGGCAGTGGTGGGAAGTGAGGGCGGTTACAATAATGTAACCCTAGTTCTATTAACACAGCTGGAGTCCTCTACTGGATTCTATGGGTAATAGTCTCCTCCAGTTAGGGGCATGCGATGGCTTACTGAAGTCTGCATAAACATAGCCAGCCAATTAGGACATGCCTACCCAAGTAAGTGAGAAGCCCATAGTATACAGGGCATCATGACAGTCCCTCCAGGATTTTTCAGGCATTTTTTGTGATTTTTGAGGCCTGAAATCCTTGATTTCATGGCAGCTTCTCTAAAAAAATTGCGATGCATGTTGTAATATTTTCAGTTGTTTTTGCTATCATGTTAAGAGTAAATTAATAACAATAATTAATAAATAATTTTAATTTCTAAATTACAATTACATAACACAGTAACTGTTGGAGTTTTTTAACTTTACAAACTATAAAGTGTCAGCCTGCCAGTGGCCCACCGGGCTCTCCCTCACCTGACAGTGAAGCTGCGAGACGCAAGGTGGTCTCTCTCTCATCTGATGCTACTTGCCTTATCTGTAATGGTGCTTAATCTTACTGTCAATCACTGTCTTTACAATCAGGTAGGCCTGTTTCATACTTGTGGACCTCGCTGTTGCCTGCTAAATCTTCCTGACTGGCTCTGACATATTAAAAAAAAAAAAAAAAGAAAAACTTTAGACTAGCAAGTTTTTTTTGTAATATTTGTTTTATTTTACACCAATATTGGTTCTAAAAATGCACCATATCACGATGTCAGTTCAGTCAATCAATTTTATTTATAAAGCCCAATATCACAAATCACAATTTGCCTCACAGGGCTTTACAGCATATGACATCCCTCTGTCCTTAGGGCCCTCACAGCGGATAAGGAAAAACTCCCCCAAAAAATCCCTTAAAATTGGATCTTTGAAGAAAACAGATTTTCAAGTTTCCTGTAGGGTCCCTATAAAATGCTCTGATGGCCCCATGAACCTATTAGGAATATATCCTTCTAAAACCTTCTTGTGAAAATTAATTTTGATCTAAAGCTTAAAAAAGTGGACAGAATTCTCCAGGCTTGGAGAGGTAAATATCTCTCTATTTATGGAAAAATTACTGTACTTAATTCACTGATACTTTCACAATTTACTTATCTTTTGCAGGTTCTGCCTTCTCCTGGTGCAACTTTTTTAAAAACTTTTGAAAAAAGAATTTTTAATTTCATTTGGAGCCGTAAAACTGACAAAATTAAACGTAATTATTTGTATAATACGCGTGAGAATGGAGACCTGGGATTAAAGTCTTTCAGCACTTGATTTTACTTTAAAAGCTGCATGGATACAAAAATTATATAATAATCATGAATGGTTTTCATCCAAGCTATTTCTAGCTCAGTGCGGTCCATCGATTGGAAAATTACATCCATTCTTTCAATTATGGTTTTTCAGTTAAAAATTTTCTATAAAATATTAGCAACAAGAAAGATGCTTAAAATATGGAGAATAACAGATGACAATACATGTAGATTTTGTGGAGATGAGGAGGAAGACATTTTGCATTTATTTTGGTATTGTCCAGACGTTGCTCTCTTTTGGTATCAGCTGGCAGTTTGGTTATCCGAGCAAGGACTTGTTTTATCATTATCCCCCATTAATATTATTTGGGGTTTTCAAGAAGAACAAAATATGCTGTTAAATACTATTGTGGTGCTCAGAAAAAGCCTTCATATTTAAAACTCAAAAAAGGATTATTTTAAGAAATTTTATAATGTACCTTAAACATCATTATTTGCTAACAAAGATTATGTTGAAAACTAAGGGAAACAGTGCGGATATAAAGAGATGGGACGTCTTGGCAATATCAAAAACTTGGGATGAAAATTTAATATAGCCTAGTTTAATGAACTTTTTAGCTGCTATAGAGCAAACTTTTTTGAGTTAAAAGACATACATTTTTGGTTCATGTATCAAAGATGAGAGGTATGCACATATTTTTATGTGTAACTGTATGTGTTGTTTTGTTGTAGTTATGTGTTGTTGGGTATGTGTTGTTTTGTTTTGTTCTAAATTGTTGGATATGTGTGGTTTTATTGTAAGTTTATGTTGTAAGGATATGTATTGTCTTTGTTGAAGTTTTATGTTGTTAAATAAAAAAAATTAAACAAACAAACAAACAAAAAAAGCAAATAGCCGTAAAATCATCCTAATATGTCACAGAGACTATGGAATAATGTTAATATAACATACTGATCTCACCGACAACAATAGTACAGCCAGAATATTCGCATTTAAAAAAAAAATTTACGGTCTGCAAATCATGTTTATGTTTTGAATTTGTGTTTTGGCCTGTTGCGCCACCCACTGCCGTCTACCAGTCACGGCAGTCAGTAGAGTCTCAGCATTCGGGTTGCCAGTAGTTACGACTGAGCTACAATGGCTGTCGGAGTGACAAAACCCAAACAACCTTGAAGAATTTGAAATCGGATGTCGAAGTGGCTACTCTTCTACCCGACAGGTAAGCTTTAGCCAAAGTTGGCTAACTAGCATCATAGCTAGACGGGGATGGACATTTGGAATACTTTCAACTGTTATTCATTTTTGATCATACATTGTAGCCCATGTGAAGGTGGGTCATCGACTCGACTGATTTTTTTTGAGAAACAATTGTTAGCAGCACGGCAAGCAGCATTAGCAGTGTCCCGGTACATAGAATTAGCAGCCGGCTCCTTCTCCGCTGTATCCCGGCAGCAGCGTTAGCAGCAGAGAAGCCGGACTTGCTCGAACGGGGGGCGGTCACAACTCGCGGCAGTATTTTGAATTTGAGTGCAGTAACCGTTTTGGCCACATTCTTACATATGGCGCCTTTAAATCACCTTGTGGGGCACCATTCCCAAAAGTGAAAAATGATAGCCAGTTAATCATAAAATTCACTTAACTATCAATTTGGAATTTTGAGTAATAATTACAGTAATAACCATAACCAAATTTACCTTATTAATAATAATGGCTGAAGGACTTAGGAGTTCTTGACATAGCAGAGGTTGACTATTCATTCACTCTAGTGCAATGATAAACAGATAGCGAGTATGATTCCAAAAGTATTTATTTATAAAGTAAGCAAAGCAAACAAAACACACAAATCCTACCTAACTAACTACACACAAGCATGGATGTGTATAAGTATGTGTGTCTGTGTGTGTATGCGAGAGAGAGACAAAAGATGTATGTGTGAAACAATGGCCATCTGGCCTACAAACAAGATGGCTGACAACAGAGAACTACAATTTGGCCAAATCAAAGATTGCTTCAGACCAGGGGAGGTTTTGCCTGACCGTGTGGTCAGTCA